GTGTGTGTTTGCGTTTGTGTTTGTGTTTATGTGTATGTGTATATGTGTGAGTGTGTGTGTATGTGTGTGTGTGTGTCTGCGTACGTGTGTGTGTTGGGGGGGGGGGGTCTATGTGTGTTTGTGCGTGTGCGTATGTGTGTGTGTTTGTGGGGGCGGTTGTCTATGAGTGTGTTTTGTTTTTTTTTCAATTTTTTTGTGTTTTTCATTTTTTTTAACATACATATGAACTTTAAAGATAAAAATAAAAAATGGGGTTGTAGATCTCCAAAAGATCTACAACCTTAGTTTTTTTTAAAAATGTTTTGTTTATTGGTTGTCTACCAAACAATCTCTGTGAAAAAAAAAGAAAAACCCACCCATTTCATCTTTTTTTTTGGTTTTTTTCTTTCTTTTTACGTTTTTGATTTTTTTTAAATATAGCAAAACTTCAAAAAATAAAATAAAAAACATAGGGTTGGGATCTAAAAAAGATCTAAAACCATTTTATTTTTATTTCTTTTTAGCATTTTTTACCCCCCCAAAAAATATCCCCGCGCCCGCTCAAAACCCGTTCAAGGCGCTTTGAGCGCAGGATTGAGCGGCGCTCAAAAACTTTAGCGCCGACCACGCGCTCAATCAGCGCGCGGTTTCACAGGTGTCGTGCATGAAGGGGTGGTTAGTTCCCCCTTCCACTGTCGGTAGTGTGTCGTCACGATATTGCTGGCCTCCGATCTGGTGGCGTTGGGTTGTGGCTTTGTCCATGGCGGGAGGCGTCGTGTCCTTGAAGGGGTGGTCATCTGCGTTGGCGTTGTTGTGTGTGTCGCCCCGTTTTGTGGAACTGGGGAGCTCATGGTGCAGTTGCTGTTTCGCTGTGGGTTGGCGTGCATGAGGCGGTATGTGTGGGCAGATTCTTTCAAAATTTGTGGCCACAAGGAGAGTGTCGGCGGCAAGGGTGGATGACGATAGCGCAGTCGAATGCATCGTCGGCGGAGGCGAAGTCACGCGCGTGCACGTGCCGATCGTAGTTTTCATGTAGTATGTTGTCACCGCGGGTGACGTGTCTGGGTGACGGAGTCGAATCCGACGGTGTGTGTTCTGTTTTCCTGAAGTTGGGATTGAAGTTGCCATGAACGCTACACTTTTTTCCAAAGTGCGTCGTCTTCTGCTTTTACTGCGAGTCACAACAATTTAACAACATTTCATGTCACTTATTTCTGTTGCTTAGCTTGTCCTCTTATTCGACACTGATTGAAACGACAATATTTGCACGACGTTGTGTGTGTCATTTCTATAGCCTTCAGACCTTTTTACATTTGCAATGTCGTCATTGTTTCTATCGAGTTCCCAAAGCCTGCTATGACCCTCACTTTGTGATCATCCATCGGTTAAAGAAACCAACCCTTACCCTTTACCATCCCCCTTACCATGACATATAGAAATTCGAATGAAACTAGAAAAAAGCAAGCACCGCAAAGCTGTAGACTTCATGAATAACATTGAACAATTAGACGTTGCTTTAAGAGATGACAACATAGGTTATCCATTTCCGAGACAAAAAAAGGAAAGGTTCATGAAACACCCCTACAACAACCGATCCGCCACAGCAACGACCCGCAACACGACAATGTCCCCTCCCATGACCGATCTCATACCCAGAACGACCCCGCCCCCCCCCCCCCCCCCCCCCCCCCCCCCCCCCCCCCCCCCCCCAACTTGTCTCCTCCCTCCCCCGTTCCTGCCATCCTCCCCCCCCCCCCCCCCCCCCCCCAGGCACATACCAACCCTACCCTAATACTACTAGCCA